AGCTGCTTTTTGAAGACCACACTAAAGTAATAGATTGAACTTTGAGATGTTAGAAAGCTGTACTGAACAATGTCTTCTTCTAAGTTCAGGAAAACCAATTTCATTTAAAAAATGAGTAACGGAAGATGATAGGAGGAAAATTTCCAACAAAATTATCATAAACGAAAAAGAGAATAAGAAGCAGAATGACATCTCTCCTGTCAGTGTGGTTTTGTCCCGGAAGGGAGTTTTGGCTGCAGTTTTGAGAGCTCATAATGCCTAGATAATTCAACCCCTTCAACCCTAGAACGTATCACTTGGACTCATTCTAGTTTCGCTTGCTTTTCTCAACTCAGCCAACTGTGTTATCTAATTAGTACTTGTAGAGTATTTTAATTTGTAGAGTATTTTAGCGTTTTCCTATCTTCCAATCTGTCAGATCATCCATTGTTTATGATCACCCCCACACAGATTGCTCAGGTCTTACGGCTGTGAATTGCCCCTAGCCTCTTTGATTTAGAGCTCCTGGAAACATGTTAGCACCTACTTTTTTGTAGATGTTGTCCATGGATTAATTAATTACATAATGTATTGCATGTGCAATTCACTTACCCTTTGTGACCTCCATAGTTCTGTCCCTGCACAGCCTCTGGGCCAGAAGCAATCCCCTCACACCCAGCCTAGTGTCTGTGGGATAAAGCACCACAGGCAGGGAAAGGCATGCAAGAGAAGTGAGGTTTGCGTAATAGGTGGCCTGAGCCAGACTCCTTATGGACAAGTCTGGGGTAACAAGGGTCCAGCACCCAGGAAGGGCACCCAGATATTTCTTTTCCCAGGACTCCTCTGCCAGCCATGGTAGATCTCCTGAGATCTCACGAGATCATGTTCCTCTGGGAAGAGTGATACCAGCAGCAGCATTTCAGGTGGGATGTCGACATCCTCTGAACCACATTTAAACCTCAGTCTATCCTAGCCCATCCTCTCCCTGTCCCTCCACCTGGACCCGAATTTACACCCCTATACACACCTGAAGCTACAGAGCATATGTGGAGGGCTCCAACTGCCCGGTTTGCCTTCTTGGGTAAAGCTACACTATATCCAGCTGGACCAGTCCCCAGCAGATAGGTGTTCCTCCTAGTGTTCAAAAGAGGCAAACATTTCCTGATGGAGAGGCTTGGGTGAAGGGGCCATCACTGGGTGCTGGCATTTGGACAAGGTCAGAGAGAGCAGAGAGCAATGCCTTGAGGCTGTACTTTGGGGTGAGAGGTTGGAGGTACAGGTAGCAATCATCTCCTGGGACAGAATCGATAAACTTTGCTTCTATGGAGAAGAACGACTGGCCCCAGCGATGTGCGATGGGACAGTGCATTTCAGTTGTTTCAGCCTTGGACCTTGGCAGACATCAGATTGGGGCCTCAGGGTTGTACACCAGAGGCCCATGTCACTGCTGAGGGGCCTTCAGCCTCCAAGAAGACAATAGACTTGCTGCCGGCGCTTGCACAGCTTACTCCTCCATTCTGGCCTCGGGCAGTCCTGCCCCACACAGCCTCTAGACTAGAATTTGGTCCCTGACACCTGGCCATAAGCTCCTGGGGTGAAGTACCACTGCCCTGTGACTCTGAGTGGGGTGTGGGGAGGCACTATCAAGGATTGGGGCCTTCACCTAGCAAGGACTAAGGTATAAAAGGAAAAAATTAATATGTTAATTAAAAATAAGACTATATTAGGTATAAAGTTTCAGTCATGCAAGATAGAAAAACACTAGGGACCTGCTGTACAATGTTATGCTTATAGTTAGTAATATAGTTAAATTTCAGTTAAAATTTTGTTAAGAGAATAAGACATCATTGTTTTTTTAGCCACCATAAAAGATAAGGTCATAAAATATTGTGTATAATTCCACATAAAGGATATTTTAAAAACCTATCCCACCTATCCCTGTGTACATATGTGGAATTAAATACATAAAAATGTAAACACTGGTACTTATCTCCAGTGGTGGGGTTATGGTTAAATGTTTTTTTTTTCCTTTTTCTGCATTTTCTAATTTTTCTAAAGTGAAATCAAGCTATATTTATAATCAGAGACATACTTAGAAAATGGTTTCTTCTGTTTCAGATCTCCTTGGTTCTCTTTTCATTTCTGAAATCAAAGAGGACTGGCCCCATCAGAAGACAAAACTCCCGTCCAGGATCAGACATCTTCAGTTGAAGCATGGTTTTATCCCCCAAATAATTATTTTTAATTATTCCACCATTTCAGTCCCTTGGTCTTTACCACATATAATTCTCTCATCCCTAAGGGATCTTGAAGAATGCTGAGCCCTTTGTTCCTGTCCCTTCTGCCCCCAGAGACTGCTGCTTCCTCTTGCCTACCACAGGAAGTTTTTCCATATCCCACACCTGTCAATATGGTAGCTGCAGATGCTCCTACAGGAACTACTCTTATTAGAACCACTTCTTCTAATTCTGCTTTTGCTAGTGGAAGTGGAAGGAGATAGGAAAAGCGGAAGGAGATAAATGATAGGTGGTATATTAATTGTGGAAATGGGAATGAGAGTTTGAAGGCATTGATCCCATGAAGGTCTAATAGCAGGTATGAAGTGAGGAAATGGGTGAGAATGTGAAGTACAGGAGGTTATTGCCATGATCCTCCGCTTTTTCCACACAGAATTTTGCCTCTCCCACTTTGGAGATCCCACAGAATCTAAAAGTCTTTTTCCCATATCCCCTGCACTCTCCTGTTCAGAAAAATAGCTATTCATTAGGGCTCTTTTATCTCCACCACCTTCCTAAGTGCCTGTAAGGCAGCTGTACTAGGCCCGCCCCTACCAACAGTAATTGTAGTACCTGCTGCAAGGTCTGATTCTTTCTCCTCTTTCTCCAGCACCATTTGAACTCTTCCTTTATTGTACCAGCACTAATCTTAGACCCAGCAGGAAAAATATCAGTACATGCTCATCTTTTTAAATATACAGGAGACATTAGGATCCACAGGATATCATAGTATCTCCTCTCCTTCCCCTCCAAACAGTTATATGTTTGTTCCCCCTGACATCCCTCTTTTATTCCTGCATTCCTATCCCAGGTAACCAAGGCCCTCCCTGTTAGTCATATCTGAGAGAAAAGGGATTTCTGGTATGACAGGATAATTTTTGTGCCATACCCTCATCTTACTATACCCATTCCAAGAAGGTGTCCAGATCTTTATTCCCCCCCCCTTATACCAGAGGAGATTTACGGTACCAGCTTGTATTTAGTTTTCTATAATCCTGATCATTTTTTTTCTAAATTTTTCATTTAAATTCAATCAATTAACATGTATTGTATTATTAGTTTCAAAGGTAGAGTTCAATGATTCATCAGTCTTATATAATACCCAGTGCTCATTACATCATGTGCTCTTCTTAATGTCCATCACCCAGTTATCCCAACTCCCCAACCCCGCCTGTCCCACCACCCTCAGTTAGCTTCCTATGATTAAGAGTCTCTTATGGTTTGTCGCCCTCCCTCATTATCTTGACCAAATTTTGCTAAGGAAGAGAGGAATTACTTAGAGAACAGAGTGAATGGAGGAAGAATACTGTTTATGATACCTAAGAACTCTTTATTCCCTGCCATGACCCCAGAGAGAAGGTAGGGTCCCAGAGGGGAATGGCTACCTGGTGCATTAGGGAAATGGACCCTAGGCATTAGGGCTTCCAGCGTTGGCAGACACCTCCAAACCCCACTGTCCCTAGAGAAGCAAACATGCCTAGCTTCAAGGAACCATCTGGACTTGGCCAGTAAGGGTAGCATGGAATGAAGGCCCCACAAAATACCCTTCCCCCTCCCATTCTTGGGTAATTCTTATTATGAGAGGGGCCCTCTCATAATGAACAAGATTGAACTTTCCTTCACCTTACTGGGAAAGAAGGAAGACACAGATTTAAGCTGCCACCTCTGACCAACCTGTCCCAACACATGACACAGAAGATACAGGGGGCAAGTGCATACTCTTTATTACTAATTAGGATCAGAAAAACCCTGGCAGATATTGAGCTTGGTAAGCTGGGCAGATCTTATGGGGGAAACTATAACACCTTTTAACTATAACATCTTTTAACTTATAACTATAACATCTTTTGTTCAGACTGAAGCTGATCTACCTCCCCATCCCCTGGGCTCAACCCTGGCTCCCTCCTTCAGCTACCTCAGAAGAGCAGAGATCCTTGAAGAGAATACACCAAGTGGGAGAGAAGGGGACCAGGGGCATTCTCAAGAGTGTTTGTCCCAGTCCAGTATTATTTTTAATCCAATCCAAGAGAAGCACGATGTCTGTCCATCTTGCCTGCTCTTCTTCCACTCTTGACTGGAGAGGGGCTTGGGATGGAAGGAGACAAGACTGAGGGTTCATGTGTGTAGCCAGTACTCCCTCAAACACTGTCTTTAAGCCACCCAGTAGTTTTTCAGGCAACCAGGAAGAATAGTTTTTCCATCTCAAACGAAGAAATTACACTTTCAGAAAAGTCCTGCCTTTGCTTCCCGATGCTACTTTCCCAATATTTGCCATTGCTCATTTGTTTCACCTAGGAGCAATGAGATGATTAGTCTAGTAATTCTTCTCATGAAGGTCTCTGATATTGCTCCCAGAACTGCAAAAATAACTGTTATTTCAATTGGCTTTACCCAAAGGCCATAGTATACACAAGGCAAAGAAGTCACCTCTTATCTCAAAGTATGCTCCCTCTTATTATCTAAACAAACTCACCAAAAAGTTGTGATGTGTGCATTAAATATTAACATATGGCTCTAGCTCCTAACATACACTAGGTAATCAATAACTACTTGTTTAATGAATTAAATGTAACCCATCAAATTTGCTACCGTCTATAGAATTTAACATTGCAAACCCCTCAACTCTTCCAAATTAATCCCTTGTCCCAACAGAGAAATTAAATTCTAACAAAATTGTTTTGCCATCCTTTCCCCCCTTATGAGTGCCAGACCATCTCTTCGTGACTTCCTCTCATTCTTCTCAGTTCCAGTCAATGGGGGTCTCAGTGAGGTGTGGGTCAGCTGGAATCAAGGTGTGATTTCTTTAGACTCTTGGGAGATCTTCTAATGGGATGGGTTCAGCTTCTTCAACAATAAACAATTTCTGCAGGCTCAGAGACACAAAAACAGGCCCTCACCTATAAAACTTAAAAACAAGAAGCAACATGAACACTGTAGTAATTTAAAAAGGAATAATAACATTTTCAAGGAAAAACAATACTCCTAAAGTTCAATACAGTTGTAACTTTAAAACACATGGTTGTTACTAGCCAGCAACATAACATTTTCAGGAAAAAGAGGTTAATAAGAAAACAGAAAAAAAGTGAAAAAGGAAAAGGCTTCATGACTTCAGCCTCTCCAGGGTGTCAACCAGTCTGCATCAGTTATCCAGAATCCACCATCTGTGAACTTAAATGCAATTAGGAAAAATCCCCTATTTAAAATGTGTGATACTCAAAAAGTAGTCTATCCTTGTTAAAATAGAGATATAAAATAAAAACATAGATATATCTATGCTCGTGTGTGTGTAATCAGAATGATAAAAAGTGATTAGTGGTATTGGGATAATGGACTACTTTATTTAATTATCTGTACCATGATTTTGGTTTTCAAATGTTCTGTGAAGTAAATGAGTTACTTTTTGATTGGGGTAGGAGGGGCGTCTTACGAAATTGGTTTTTCTTTGGAGTGTTTCCATTCTTACTTACCTTCCTAAAATTAGTGACGTTCTCCTGTGTCCAGGCCTCCACTCTCAACTGCCACACAGACTTTCTTGCATTGATAGCAGGGCGTGCACCATGAAAAATTCAGAGCTTTACACCATGGGCAGTCCCAATTCTTTGGACTGCCTCCTGAGGCAGGCTTCCCCTGGAGTTGGGAATCTGAGACTTTTTTCCCTTTTAGTGGCTTGGCTTTCTGCCCTGGAGGCTGCTGTTTCTTGGGGCTTTTTCTCACACCACTGCTCCTGCTGCTTCCCAGTGGGGATGTCCCCTGGGGCCTCTCTTGATCTTCTTGCCTGTGGCTCTTGCTGTTCTCCAGGGGGTACTTCTCCTGGGGCATCAATGGACATTCCTTCTGACTGGAGCTTCTGTCTTCCAGGGGTGTTGTCCTCTGAGGTCTCTCCAGATCTTTCTGGCTGTGGCTCCCACTGTCCTCCAGCGAAGTCTTTCCCTGGGGACACACAGGACCTTCATCTTGGCTGTGGCTTCTGCTGTCCCCTAGGGGACATCCTCCCTGGACGGTCTCAGAATATTCCTCCTGGTCACAGCACCTCTGTTCACACAGTGGTGCCATCTGCTCCTGGACCCCCACTGCAGCCCATTGGCCAGGTGGGTATACCCCCAGAGGTGGCTTCAGGGGCATCTGGAGTGGGACTGCTGTTGCGGTTGTTGCTGCCGCTGCTGTGTCTGCTTCCACAACTACTGAGTGTGGTAGATGTGCCCAGTATGGGAATCCCATTGGGAATGATGCAGAGAATGGGAATGGATGTGGCACCTGCACTGGCAGAGAGGTTTGCAAAGCCTGGGCCCAGGAGCTTGGAAGTGCCTGCACATAAAGCATGGCTGCAGGAGCTGCTGCTGCGGCTGCCGGAGCTGCCATCCGGGCGTCCAAACGGTGCATGGCCTGTGCCTCTGTGGCCATCATCTTGCCCTTCTCATCCATATCCTCTGGCCAGGCAGAGGCCCCACGCTGTTCTGCTCCTGACTCAGAGGTGACCTCCTGAGGAGGTTGGTCAACCCGGCCCGACTTCTCTGCCCGGAGCAGTCGCCCACGCAACACATTTCTCTCATCCAACACATGCTGCAAAGCAGCCTGCGCACATCGAAGCTGTACAGCCACCTCCTTGCGCTCCCTGCATAGCCGCTGCAGCTCGGAGGCCAGGGCCCAGGCAGCGGTCTCTCGCTCCTCTACCTGTTCCTGCAGCCTCCGGACCCGGCGCGCCTGCTGCTCCCCCTGCCTTGCGCCCACACGCACGCTCAAGGCCAGCGCGCTCCAGGCGCAGGCCCTTTTGATGGCGTGCGGCACCTGAGGGTCCGCCACCACGGCCAGAAGCCGGTCCTCTACTTCATTCCAGGGCCGTGAGCGGAAGGCCACGTAGAAATCTGGGCCGCCGCCGTCCAGGAGGACTTCATTGTTGATGAACCTGATCACCTCGGTATGGCGGAACCCGCTGGCGTGGTCCCCAAAGTCAACCGCCATGGCTGCTGCGGCCTAGTTAACCGACTGCTGCGGCCTAGTTAACCACCCGCCTCACAGGCGATGCCGCCGCTGCTGCCGCCAGTAAAGGTCCACCCTTCAGCTCCCTACTGAGTCCTGCCAAAGTCCTCTCCCAGTCCTAGCCTCCTCCTTGGCTTCTTTTGTCCCTCACTACCAAGTTTTTCCTTAAAAAAAAAAAAGGAAAAGAAGAAGAAAAAAGAAGGAAGGAAGGAAAGAAAGAAAGAAAGAAAGAAAGAAAGAAAGAAAGAAAGAAAGAAAGAAAGAAAGGTGGATTCTCTCACCACACCAACCCCCAGTGCGCGAAGGGCGACGATAGCGTGATGCGTCACAGACAACTCTGAGACACGCACGCCACCGCAAGGTGTGCTGGGACCCATCTCTCAGGCTAAGCGCCCCCTGGAAGGCGAACCGGGTGGATTCTAGACACGGACGGGGCACATCAGATTCCTAGGCGATAATAATAGTTGTTGCTCATGCACATAAGGTCTTGGATGGGACTTTCAAACACACACACTCCCAGTCTAAAAGAAAGGGTGAATCAGAGAAGGCCAGAGAATTTCTGGGGGAGGGAGAGAGTCGAGGTGGAGTCTGATGTTGCCGGACCCCCTGTTCGGGGACATAAATAGGGTGCAAGCCTGGGGTCTATTAAAATCTAGAAAAGGGGCAGGACAGTGTTGACAGTGAAGGCTGTGGTTGTGCTACTGCTGTGGGAAAGGGAATGAAGCTGCACGTTGGGGCAGCAGTGGGAACCAGGTAAAGAACAGGAATATGTCATCCCAAAATACGATACTTTGGCACATTACTTTGAGTTGAAGTTACTTAAGAAACAGCTGATATAAGCAGGACATTCTAACCCTCCTTTGTGCCCCTGAAAGGAGGAACTAAATCACCCAAGTGAAGTATACCCACTCTATACTCTATACCCAAAGAGTAGAAGGCACCTTACCACCAGAAATAGGGAATGAATTTAGGGCTGAGAAGGCTACATAAAATACCTTATTACTTCCTCACTAATTTACAACCCCAAACTCAAACCTCTTTGTCTTATGAATTCTTCACATTTTCCGGGGGAGAGGGGCTTGAAGTTATAAAAGCTGCCTGCTTTGGTCACTTTTTTTTTGAGTCATATTTATATGGGGTTCTTATATGTATGAAATTAAATTTGTTTTTCTCCTATAAATCTGTCTCATATTTATTTAATTATTAGCCCAGCCAAAGAACCTAGAAGAGAAAAAGGGAAAAGTTCCTCATTCCCACCTCTGCAGTTTTGAACCCTGACCTAGGACCCTCCACTACCTGGACATTACTCATTCTGGGGCTGCTGCACCTGAGAGATCCTGGGATCCGAAAAGATCTAAGAATTCTTACCACATCAGTCTCCTGGATCTCACGGGGTCTGGCAGAAGTGAAAGAGAGGGTCCTTTTCTTTTTCTAAATTTAATTTTGCAGAATATATTTGTGTGATCAAGTTCCTTGGATATAGTGACTCTGGTAAATATTTATTATCAGTACTCTCGTTTTCTTACTTTTCTAATATTTTATTTATTTATTTATTTGACAGAGCACAAGCAGGGGGAGGTCCAGGAGGCAGGAGAGGGAGAAGCAGGCTCCCTGCTGAGCAGAGAGCCCAATGTGGGGCTCAATCCCAGCACCCTGAGATCATGACATGAGCCAAAGGCAGACACCTAACTGACTGAGCTACACAGGCGCCCCCAGTACTCTTGTTTTCTATTGATCTCTTTCCTCCCAAAGATGGTCATTGTTTTCATTTGTCTCTGTCCTTTTTGTCATTTGTCATAAGGAGGGAAACAATAGGGTAGAATGTTTCACAAACTGGTGAGTTCACGGTTCTCACCAGACTGGCATCTGTTTAGACAAACTTGGCTGTGGGTCCTTTATGTAAAAACCAGATGAGGTTTTCTTTTCATCTTGTTCTGTCCTGAGTGTATGGCTTTGTGACCAGTAAGAATATTCCCTCTGGTCTCTGCCAGCCAGAAAGTACAATTATTGGCTTGCATCTGGTAGCCAGCCAAATGGGCTGGGAATCCAACATATGAACTCACAGACAACATTCTCTTTGTCCAACTGTGCCAGCTCTCAGGGGAGTTTGCCATGAGGTGTCCCAGTTCATAAGGGGCCTTTGTTGTCTAAACCATTGTTGTCTTGTTAGTGCTGAAAAAGTATAATTCTTTTTTTTTAATTTACTTATTTATTTGACAGAGATCAAAAGTAGGCAGAGAAGTAGGGAGAGAAAGAGGAGGAAACAGGCTCCCCGCTGAGCAGAGAGCCCAATGTGGGGCTCGATCCCAGGACCCTAAAATCATAACCTGAGCAGAAGGCAGAGGCTTAACCCACTGAGCCACCCGGGAGCCCCAAAGTATAATTCTAATAGCACCTGCTCAGTGGCACAGATTAGTGGGTCTATGATCGGAGGCATTTCACATTCTCATGGGAAACTGGAGACATCATTTTCACTACACCATTCTTACTACTGGTGAAAACAAATGTTTTGTTTTCTTAGGCTAACTCTGGGATTGAACTCTCTGGATCTTGTGAGCACTGCATCTTTTGCACTCTCTTTTGGGATGCCTCTTATGTTCATGGTTAAGCTATAAAAAGTCTTATTGGTTTGAGTCTCTATTGAGATTAATATAAGATCCTGCTTGTCAATGCCAGACAATAAATCCTTTGAATTAGAAAAACTTCAATATTTGAAAAAAAATTAAAGAGCTCTCATCCTAAACAAATGCCTTGTTTGTACCTATGGAAAGATCAAATTATAAAGTGGATACAGAGGAGTATAATTGCTAGTCTTAGAGACTCCCTTAATAAGATTAAAGAACAGAAATTAGACTTAGAACAAAAATTAAACAAGATGGGATTGAGAGGGAGACAAACCATAAGTGACTCTTAATCTCACAAAACAAACTGAGGGTTGATGGGGGGAGGGGGGTTGGGAGAGGGGGGGTGGGGTTATGGACATTGGGGAGGGTATGTGCTATGGTGAGTGCTGTGAAGTGTGTAAACCTGGCGATTCACAGACCTGTACCCCTGGGGATAAAAATATATTATATGTTTATAAAAAATAAAATTTAAAAAAAATTAAATCCACATCCAACATAAATTCCTCTTTTTAAAATCCAGCTGTGTCACTAAATTGTACAACTGAAACTAATATTACAGTGTATGTTAACTAACTGGAATTTAAATAAAAACCTAAAAAATAAAATAATAAAATCCAGCCCTGTCTCCTCAGCAAATTCCCTTAGCTCCTAAAATCCCTCCATGTTTCCCAGAAAATCCCTTAAACATCTAGCTGCCTGTTTTAACCTCCCTTTCCCTACAAAATTTACTACAAGCACTCTGGCCTGGTCTCCAGGTCTAGGGTACATATGTTACTCATGTAAATGCTGAAAGTCAGGAAATGAATTTAGCAGAAACACAAAGATAGGTGGTACAATTCATTTTGCCCTGTCCCTTACAACTCCCCCTCCTCTCCAGAGCTCTGTAATTGGGCTCATTCATATTTCTCTTGGATGCAGGGAACAAATCATATTTCAATAGGAAAGAACAGATTGGATTTCTGGTGACAGAGTCAATGGTGAGAAAGATATTTCTCTTTTAGTTGAGAGGCAAAGTGGAAAGCTTGGGGGTAAGGAAGTAAAAAATGAAACAAGATGGGATCTGGAAGGAGACAAACCATTAGAGACTCTTAATCTCACAAAACAAACTGAGGGTTGTTGGGGGGAGGGGGGGAGGGAGAGGGTGGTTAGGTTATGGACATTGGGGAAGGTATGTGCTATGTTAAGTGCTGTGAAGTGTGTAAACCTGGCGATTCACAGACCTGTACCCCTGGGGCTAATAATACATTGTATGTTAATAAAAATTTAAAAATTAATAAAAAGAAAGAAAGATATTCCTCTTTTGCAATAGATTGAGCCAAGAAAGAAAGGAATGAAATAAGGTAAGAATCAACAGTGAGAAAAAGGTATACAGGTCTGGTCCAATCATCTTGGGAAAGTGGTCTCCTTCAGCTGTCATCAGCTTCAATTCCTAGAAATCTTTATATTCACATCAGCAGTTGGAGTGCAGATCTAGTCAGGTTTTGGTGCTTTCTGTAGATGTGACACACGGATCCAAGGGTCTATTCTTTGGAGTTTGGCAGCACAGGGGTTGGTTAACAGTACCTGATAGGGGTCTTTCCAACAGGGTTGAAGAGAGTCTTTCTGGACATGTTTTTTCTAATAGATGAAATTCCTGAGCTGCAAGGTATTATGTTTAAGGTCTTTGTCTCTGCGGAGTACACTGTGGAAAGATTGCTCTACTAAAGCATGTTTATTCCCAACAGAAGCATTTCAGCCTTTGCAATATTTAAGCTTATCTCCTTTTACCATTTCTGGATCAAAAGAAGCAGGGGCCAAGGACACTGGCCATCCTGTGAGAGTTAATGAATTCCAAAAGGGGTTGACCTGAAATTTAGAACCACTAATGCCAGTGCTGTTGGCTGGGATATTTGAAGATTCTCTACAAATTTTGCCCAATAATGCTATTAGTGCTTTCAGTTAACCCTGAGGATTGAAGGCAGTAAGCACAGTAGAAGTGTTGTAACACTGGTCAAACATCACAGACCTGTTAAATTGAGTTCCCTGGCCACTATGGAGTTCAAGAGGATTTCCCAGGTAGGGATGATCTTTTCTAGTAGAATTTTAGCCACAAAACTAGCAGTCCAGTAAGAAAACATACAAACCATTACCAAGACATGTTTATATCCATGAGATTGGGGAAGCTAAATAAAATCCATCTGCCAAAACTTGAATGGTCCATTGGGCAATTTGAAGGGTCCAGGAGCAGTTGCAGACTGCTTTTCCTGAATTATATTTAGGTCAAGCAGGATAAGCAAAGTAGGCAGTATGTGATCTTATTAATATTTAGTCACTAGTATTGGCTTTAAAGGTTTTTATCAGTAGACTAATAATTCATTGCATATG